TCTTTAATTCGTGCATGTATGCTAGATTGATCTTCCCACCTGGGTTGTATAGGGTCTTAGGCTTATGACTCTGGACTGCCTGCACTATCATAATATCCAAATGTGCTGATAGAAGTCTAAAGGGAGTATTGACAAGCCAAAGGGAAATAGCAAAGATGCAGTAAAGTAATTAAATGGAGGCTAGACTGAGAAGAGACTGTAATCTGGCATTTGAACAAACAAAACAAGAGGCTTCTTTTTGAGACTGCAATATGAAGCAGAAATAGAATACTCCAAGAGCTTATTGTTTCATGCTTGTTTCCAGGGTTTTGGGGGAAAGAGCATTTCTCGTGAGCCCTTAGAGAATGTGAATTGGGCCCATTCTGGATTCCAGTAATCACCACTATCTGAGTCAACCGTTGACCATGTGATGTCCATGTTTTCATTTGTTGTAGATCAATTGTCTACTACTTTTTAGTGTCCACTTGGACTCTGAAATGTGTTCTGTGTATATGACAAATTATATGGTCATCCTTCATAGGTAAGTCGGGGTAACCTCTCTACAGGAAACACCTTTCAGCTAGGAACAGAAAACCAAGCAACGGTTTCCCAGGATGATGTGCTGAAGGAGACAGCCAAGTCTCAGTGGTCCTATAGTAAGCTCATGCCAAAAAACAAGCAAGCAAGCAAACAAATCAAAGGCAAGATTTAGTGCATTATTACAGGCATGTGTCACATACAAACACACATACAATCAGCCTAGGAATCCTCCGCCATCCCCAAGTCTAAGTGCATGAAATTGCCTCCATGCCTAGCCTCTTCCTCCAGATTCTCTCAAAAGGTTTTCAACGGTTTTTAGCTCTTGTGATTTCTCCCATTCAGATTGCTTCCTCCAGGAATTTTCTTTTATTTGGTGCCATCTGCATAGACACATGTGGGCCCAGGATGGGGGCCTTATGGTGCAATGGACCCACTCCCCCAACGTTTCCTGCCTCTGCACAGAAGGGAGAAGGATATTTCCTCTTCTCCCCAATAAACTTGCTGACATTCAGGACTGGGTGCAAAATGAAATTTTGAAAGAGCATCTGTAATGAGGAAGATGGTCAGAAAGGAACAGTAGCTCAAGGAAAAATAAAATCTTTATATGAAATAACAGGAATCTAGGGAAGTAGCCTCTCGAATGCTATTTTTATTTTCAGCATTTCAGGGCAACAGATTGAGTTAGTGATGTTTTCCTATAGCTCTGAGGCAACTCAGAAATGGCAGGGTTCAGACCAGCAGAGATGCACTTCCTGCAGATTTGAAAGGGGTGAGGAGCCAAGTCCGGTGGTGTGCTGCATCCCCAAGCTACAGATCCAGAGGAAAGTAGTACTGTATTAGGGAATTTCACATTCCACCCTAGGCGCCTGGCAGTTTGCACAGATCCTCTCTTATCAATTTCACCACTTTGAATCAGCTGCTCCATTTCCATGGCTAACAGGCTTTTGTATTGAAGTAACCCCAGAGGTTCGATGATGGAAAATTAGCCATATCAGAATAGGGGACCATTTAAGAATCCTGAATTCCATTTCACCCCTGATGTTTATGTTTTCCATGGGAGAGATAAAAGTGTGTAGGTTCAAAAACAGGAAATTGCTGAAACCCGACTGGACCAGTTTGAGATGTTTCCTGCTGTTAAAGAACTGTTAAAGACCAAGGAATTAGCTCAAACTGAGGTCCGTTTTTTGGATGACTGGTGATTGTTATTTGGAGGTTTTATGTCAACCTATTAAAATCAATGAAGATTGGTAGAGACACTTTGACGTTCCAGCTCTTCTTTCTCCTTTAGTTACATTTTCTCAACATACACCTTTTGCAGAATTATTTATCGACATTGTTTGAACTCTTCAAAACCCTGACACATGGATGCTTCCCCAGCCTCAGCATGTGCGTGTGTGTGTGGATGCTTTCATGGACACACTTCAGACAACCCTCTGTCTATACCCTTTCCAGATAATTGTCTACCTTGCAGTCATAGTCTTTAGATTGTAAACTCCCAGAGAGATACTTCTATGTCTGTTAATGTTGAACTCTTTTACGTGGTACTTAAAGCATGATAATAGAAATGGGGAAGGGTAGAGTACCTTTCCTGAAAAAGGAAATAGAATTTCTTGGTTATTCATATCATATTATAATTCATATTGTCATATTTTGTTACTGTATTTATATATGTTATTTGTACTATAATCCTTTTTAACAAAGGAAAACATTCAAAAAGATTAGATAAAAACATTCATCCTGATGGCTGGGCATGGTGGCTCACGCCTGTAATCCCGGCACTTTGGGAGACGGAGGCGGGCAGATGACGAGGTCAGGAGATCGACACCATCCTGGCTAACACGGTGAAAATCCCATCTCTACTCAAAAAAAAAAAAAAAAAAAAAAAAGCAAATTAGCCGGGCGTGGTGGCGGGCGCCTATAGTCCCAGCTACTCAGGAGGCTGAGGCAGGAGAATGGCATGAACCCAGGAGGCGGAGCTTGCAGTGAGCCGAGATCATCACTGCACTCCAGCCTGGGCAATAGAGTGAGACTCCATCTCAAAAAAAAAAAAAAAAGAATGCATGGAGATAGTTTATTATTTTCGCCCCCTGGAACTTATGATCAAAAGTCAATACCTTTGTGACCTACAGGTCTGTTTATTTGCCCTCCATTATAGACTGAGCTGTTAATAACATTAAATTAGCTCACATGGATTCACTGGCTAATAAAGAAGAATAGATTTGAGGGCATTGCTGCCCTGTTTATGCCAAAAATTTCCCTAAACTGAAAGTTGTTTTGTGTTCTTTCACTCCCTTCTGCTGGTAAATTTTAATATAGTTCTTAATTTTTTTAAGTCAAATTGATAGAAACATCAATTGTGTTTTTAAAACTGTAAGAAAAAATAATGTTGAACATCACAAAAATGTACTCAATCCTTCCCAAAACCCATTTCTTTCCATTTGAAATTTTCAACACTATTTTTTAGAACAGGTCGTTGATCTGAAAAATTTGTTTCTAGTGTCCAGATATGTTTTTGGTAGGGTCCTTCCCCTCCCCCCTTATACTTGATACACAGTCAAGATAAGGAAGCCAGGTGGAAAAGGAGGTGTATTTTGGCAAAAAGAAAAACAAACAAACAACAACAACAACAAAACATTGAATTAATTTACAAATTGAAATAGTACCTCACCATATGTTGTTTGTATTAAGATATTTACATTAGAAAACATTCTCACATGTGTCATTTATTTCACACAATGGTACCGCAAGATAAGTATGCACATTCCAAAATCTAGAGCTTTATTGTTCTATTTTTTTATTTTTTATTTATTTATTTATTTATTTTTGAGATGGAGTCTCCCTCTGTCGCCCAGGCTGGAGTGCAGTGGCGCCATCTCCGCTCACTGCGAGCTCCTCCTCCCGGGTTCACACCATTCTCCCACCTCAGCCTCCCGAGTAGCTGGACTATAGGTGCCCACCACCACGCCCAGCTAATTTTTTGTATTCTTCTAAAAAATAGAAAAAATCACTAGGTTCAGCCCCAGGTAAAATTCTGAAATAGACTCAGATTTGTTGCCTCCAAATGTTCCCCTTTTTTTTTTTAACCATTTCTCCCTCTGAGCCCCTCTCTCTCTTCCTCAGGTAGCCCATGGTCTAATTCTATTAATTTCTCTCTTTAGAAAATAAAGTACATAAAACAGTTATTCACAATGGGTGTCTCATATCTCAGGGTAATTTGCATTTTAGAAGAAAGTAACTAAAGCCAAAGCAACCAGCCCCTAATAGGAAATTATGGAGATCACAGAGTGGGGCATTTTTAGATAAGATTTTCAGTTGCTCCTAAAATCGAAAGGTGTTGGCTCTCGAGACTTCTCCAAAGGTCACCAGTGTCCCCAGTGGGAAGGGTACATCATGCTTTTGAGCCCATCAGCATCATGGAGCCATAAATTATATGACCAATATTCTTGAGAAACCATCAGCATTACCTTAACCATCAGGCTGGTTTCAAATGCGTGAAGTCTCACCAGCTGGCTCAACTTTCACCCATCTCTTGTTTTTCCTTAAGTCTTCAGGAAGGGTTTCAAAGTGGTAACACCTCCCCATCTTATCAAGTTCCATTAAGACAGAATTCCATGAACACAGAAAGCAGTTCAATGAAGTTAAGACTGCTGGCACGGGCCGAATGAATCTAACCGTATCTCAATTTTGGTGGTGAAAATGCTTTGAGGTAGTTCATTTTTGTCATCTTCTATAAATTCTGATGAAAAGATGCATTAGGGGGCCAGGCACGGTGGCTCATGCCTGTAATCCCAGCACTTTGGGAGGCTGAGGCAGGCGGATCACAAGGTCAGGAGATTGAGACCATCCTGGCTAACACAGTGAAACCCCATCTCTACTAAAAATGCAAAAAATTAGCCGGGCACGGTGGCGGGCTCCTCTAGTCCCAGCTCCTCAGGAGGCTGAGGCAGGAGAATGGCGTGAACCCGGGAGGCGGAGCTTGCAGTGAGCCAAGATTGTGCCACTGCACTCCAGCCTGGGTGACAGAGTGAGACTCAGTCTCAAAAAAATAAATAAATAAATAAATAAATAAATAAATAAATAAGTTGACGCATTAGGAATGTAATGCCTCATACATTCTGTGGATTAAAATTATGTACTTTACTGTGATGACCTTTTCAATACTCTGTCATGTGTTTGACTGATCCTGGAGCTCTCTTGTGTTTACAGCATCACTGACCTCTACAAAATGCACGCAGAATAAATAGATAAACACACTAAACTCTGCAAGGGAAACATGCAGATGAGGGTCCCCATACCAGCCATGTCAATCTAGCAGGTAAATGAGGCCGTTGTCCTTTTCCCTGGTATTAAGCATTTGGAGGTGAAGTTCAGCAGATAAGGCTTTTGCTGTCTGAGAAGCAAGAACAGTCACATTCAAAAGGTCCTAGAGAAGAGTTTTAGTGGCACTGTACATGATACACACAGTATAGGCTTTCTCCTACCTTTCAGCATTTCGCCAGCTGTCAACATTTCCTGAGGGCTGAGACCTCTGACTTTGTATCAGCTAAAAGTATCTGTAATAAAAATAGTTAACGTTTATTGAGGTGTTTGATACTGAGGTGTCTGAGAATAACATGATCTAAGTAAGACTATTATACGGTTCATGTGATTCACATAACAACTCTTTGACATAGATACCTTACTCATTTCCATTTTACAGCTGATGAATTTGGGGCTCAGACAAATTAGATAATTTTTCCACACTTAAGTGGTAGAACCAGAATTCAAACCCAGGTCATCTGACTTCATTCCCCATGGCGGCCATAAAAAAATGTACCAGTCAGATCTCCTGCTGCAAAGAGCATCGTTGACTGAAAGACCTAGCTGCTCGTCTCGGGATCCATCACTGCCTTTGCACTCTGGGCTGTCCCCAGTCAATGACTGAGGGTTACTAGTGCTGGTCCATTCCTGTGGGATGCAGAACTCTAACGTGGGACTTCGGTGGGGAATTCCCTATCAACTTGTCCAAAATGTCTTAGAAGGATGCTGTAGTTTGAGGTTCAATCCTCCTTCCTTCCCTTCTCTTTTCAGAGATGTCTGAGCTACATCTGATCAAGTCAGAGTTGACTGTTCACAAGTCCTAGCCTATCATTTTGGATGCCAGAACAGCCTACAAGGCAACCTCAAGAGTAAGAGAAACCCCTGTTACCTGAGGAGACTAGGATACCGAAAATTATCTAGTCAGATAATCAAGTTTCTCTTCTGGATGCTTTCTACTTTTTGTTTGTTTAATTTGCATATCATAAAGCACAACAAAACATTGCTTGCTTTCTCTACCTAATAAGCCAGAGTGAGAAACATTGTTGAACTTAGGCCATTATCTTTTGAGCCTATATCAGGGCTTCTTAAATCTTGATGTACAAATTTTTTTTTGAGAATCATAAAAATGCAGATTCTGATTCAGTAGGTCTAGGGTGGGGCCTGAGTTACTTTTTTTCATGCACCACATAGCAATGTTTTGGTCAACAATGGACCATATAAATACATCCCTGTCTTCCACCTCCACATTCTGTCCCACTGGAAGGTCTTCAGGCGCAGTAACACACAAGGAGCTATCATCTCCTATGATAACAATGCCTTCTTCTGGAATACCTCCCCCCAGACCACCACAAATACGTGAGGATTGCACTGTGCTATAGTGATGCTACTACGGCAACATCATCACTAGGCAATAGGAATATTCCAACTCCATTATAATCTTATGGGACCAGTGGATATGGATGATCCTGACCCTGCCTAGGCCCACGTTAATGTGTGAGTTGGTATATTCATTTTGGTTTTGTTTTTGAGACAGGGTCTCATTCTATCGCCCAGGCTGGAGTGCAGTGGTGCAATCTCAGCTCACTGCAACCTGTGCCTCCCAGGTTCAGGCAATCCTTCCACCTCAGCCTTCCAAGTAGCTGAGACTACAGGTGCGTGTCACTACGCCTGGCTATTTTTCATGTTTTTTTGTAAAGGCAGCGTTTCGTCATGTTGTCTAGGCTGGTCTCAAACGCCTGGACTCCAGCAGTCCACCTGCCTCGGCCTCCCAAAGTGCTGAGATTGTAAGTGTGAGCCACCACACCCAGCCCTCTTAGTTTTTTGTTTGTTTGTTTTTGAGACGGAGTCTTGCTCTGTCATCCAGGCTGGAGTGCAGTGGCGCAATCTCGGCTCACTGCAAGCTCTGCCTCCCGGGTTCACACCATTCTCCTGCCTCAGCCTCTGGAGTAGCTGGGACTACAGGCGTCCGCCACCACGCCCGGCTAATTTTTTGTATTTTTAGAAGAGATGGTGTTTCACCGTGTTAGCCAGGATGGTCTGCATCTCCTGACCTCGTGATCCGCCCACCTTGGCCTCCCAAAGTGCTGGGATTACAGGCGTGAGCCACCATGCCCGGCCTATGTCTTAGTTTTTAACAAAAAAGTTTAAAACATAAAAATAATAGAAAAAATCGTATAGAATATGGATAGAAAGAAAATATTTTTGTATAGCTGTACAATGTGTTTGTGTTTTGAGCTATTACTACAAGAGTCAAAAGTTAAAAAAATTTAAAAGTTGATGAAATTAAAAAGTTACAGTAAGCTAAGGTTAATTTATTACTGAAAGAAAAAATTTTAATAAACTTAGTGTAGCCTAAGTATACACTGTTTATAAAGTCCATAACAATGTACACTAAGGTCCTAGGCCTTCATATTCACTCACCACTCACTGACTCACCCAGAGTAACTTCCAGTCCTGCAAGCTCCGTCGTCTCAGCTGCTCCTTCAGGAAGCTCTAGAGCTGGGAGGTCCTTCAGTTGTCTTGATAAGGGGGCCAGGCCTATGAAACCCCATATTAAGCAGGCATGGAATGTAGACTGCCCCAGGGAAGGCGTCACTTGGGGTGAGGCAGGTCCTTTCCATGGAGCAGCTCTCAGAGGGGGACTTACCTGTGAGCCATGAGGAGCCAGCACTCCTGTCAGCGGGGCCAGTGAGCACTTCAGCCTGGAGGGGGATCTAGGTGAAGTACCAGTGTCTACTACTCTGGTGATAGCCCCAGTGACCTCAAGAAATCACTGTCCTGTTTTCCATCTTGGTCCACATTTAGGACAGAATATGATAGACATTTCTTCAAACATTTCTGTTTTAATAATAAATGGGACAACGTGTCTGTGGAACGTGCCAGGCCCTAGAGGCAAGTGATTCTAGGAACAGTCATTCTGGTTTTACAGAAAAAAACTCTGACCTAATTTGAAAGTTGCACAAATCATCTTATTTCAAGCAGGGATGCCGGTAAAAGGTTCAGGAAGGCCCTTTGGCAGATACTTCGTGTATTGATTTCACAGAAATGAAAGCTAGGTGAGCTAACATCTGAGGAAAAGGATGTGTGCCATCTAGTGGCACTAAAAGCGAAGCCTAATGCTTAAGGGAAGATTTCCCTTTTCATCCTCAGGGAACTCAGTGAGGTTTTCAGTAGTGTGTTCCTACTTTTAGAAGTAGGTGTGGGAGTTCACTAAGTGAAATAAAATTACAATGTCCACAGCTGGATAGCTGCGTGGGGTAACACATAAAATTGGATCCATTCTTTCTACACTGGATAAATTCCAAATTTAAGGACTGGGTGCGGTGGCTTACACCTGTAATTCCAGCACTTTGGGAGGCAGAGGCAGGCAGATCACCTAAGATCAGGAGTTCAAGACCAGCCTGGCTAATATGGTGAAACCTCATCTCTACTAAAAATACAAAAATTCGCCGGGTGTGGTGGCATGCACCTGTAGTCTCAGCTACTCAGGAGGCTGAGACAGGAGAATCATTTGAACCCTGGAGGCGAAGGTTGCAGTGAGCAGAGGTCTCATCGCTGCACTCCAGCCTCAGAGATCTAATATTAAAAAATGGAAAACATAGCAGTACTAGAAAATTAAGTACTAGAATTCACAAGAGTAAATACCTTTATAACTCAGGAGTGGGGAAAATACTCCTATGATCAGAATCCAGAAGCATTAGGGAAGAGATTAACTATAATTTAAACAAACAAAAAAGCAAGGCAAAAAGTCTAAAAAATATGTGCAACTTATATCATGAGGGGCTAATATATAAAAAAAGTCTCTAAAATATTTTTAAAGTCCATCCTGATAGAAAGTAAAGGATGGACAATTTAAATAAAAAGAAGTACAAATAGCCCTTAAACAGGTGAAAAGATTGATTGATTTATTGCACTTTGTTTTCCATTTTAGGAGTTGCTTTTACATTTTATTTTATTTTTTATTATTATTATTATTTGAGATACAGTCTCACTCTGTTGCCCAGGCTGGAGTGCAGTGGTGCAATCTCGGCTCACTGCAAGCTCTGCCTCCCGGGTTCATGCCATTCTCCTGCCTCAGCCTCCCAAGTAGCTGGGACTACAGGCGCCCGCCACCATGCCCAGCTAATTTTTGTATTTTTAGTAGAGACGGGGTTTCACCTTGTTAGCTAGAATGGTCTCAATCTTCTGACCTTGTGATCCGCCCCCCTTGGCCTCCCAAAGTGCTGGGATTACAGGCATGAGCCACTGCGCCTGGCCTATTATAATTTTTTTAGATAGAGTCTCACTCTGTCTCCCAGGCTGAAGTGCAGTGGCCGGATCTTGGCCCACTGCAAACTCCACCTCCCAGGTTCAAGCGATTCTCCTGTCTCAGCCTCCTGAGTAGTTGGGATTAAAGGCATGCGTCACCACGCCTGGCTTATTTTTGTATTTTTAGTAGAGACAGGGTTTCACCATGTTGGCCAGGCTGGTCTCCTGACCTAAGTGAACCGCCCACCTCAGCCTCCCAAAATGCTGGCATTACAGGCGTGAGCCACCACCTTATTTTGGCCTTATTTTGTATTTTAAACATGTTACACATTTACAGGGTTCCAAGTGTATATATGAAACAAGATCTATTCAGAGAGGTCTAGCTTCCATTCCTATCTTCTCCCGCACCTGTTCTTGATCTCTCCTATTGTTTACCATGTTTATTAGATTTTGGTTTACCTTTCTATTGTTTATTTTTGAAAATATAAGTATTCGTTTGTATATGTATCTGTAACACCCTGTATACCAAAGGTAGCATACTATATACACTCTTTCGTGCCTTGCTTTTTCACTTCACATCATAGTCATATATCTTCCACATTCCTTAAGAGCTTCATAATACTTTGTTGTATGCATGCATCATTTGAAAAGATGTTCCACTTCCTTCACAAAAGATCAATACAAAACTATACTGAAGGCCGGGCACAGCGGCTCACACCTGTAAACCCAGCACTTTGTGATGCCGAGGCAAGTGGATCGCTTGAGGTCAGGACTCCGTCTCAAAAAAAACAAAACAAAAAAACAACTATACTTTGATAACATTTCCTACATATCGATTTAGCAAACATCTAGGAGTTTGACAATTCATTCTATTGGAGAGGCTGCAGAGAAACAGCAAACGTTGCTGGAGTGAATACAAAATTGCACAACCCCTATGAAAGGGAATTTGGTAGTAAACAAAATAACATGTTCTTTTACCCTTTGACCTAACAATCCCATTTATAGAAATCTATGCTAAAGACCCACTAGCAAAAACATGTTATATATGCACAAGGAACCTTTTGTAATAGCAAAAGACTGGGAATAGTCCACGTATCCACTAATAAGAGCCTGGCTAAATAAACTACACTACACCCATATATAACCAAAAAGAATTATGTCCAGTTCATTTACAACATAGTATCTTGACTGTATATCCCCAGTTGGATACAGTTTTAGAAAAAAGGAAGCACGTGCAAAGTTAAACTTCATTATCTGTCTAACGTTAGCAATATCACTATTGTTATTCTGTTTTTAGTCATTCTTTATCCTATTACTGCTATTATTGTTATTGTTTTTATATACCTGTGAATATACGTAGATGAAGCAAATAAGCATTATGTTAATATTAAGAATCAATATTTTCATTGCCTTCATGTGTGTAGGAAAAAAAGAACCAATATTTTCATCTTAAGAGAAAGGAGACAAAAAGAGCTCAGCTTTAAAAAAGGATTACGACGTAGAAAAAGACACAACACTCAAGATTGTCATGGGTCTTTAAGAAACGGAAATTTGAGACGGCTAAAACACAGAAGAGTGTGGAGTTTGGGATAGAGATGAGGCTCAAGACAGCGTAAGCAATTTTTTAAAGTTATGTCTGAAGCAAGAAGAAAAGACAAGGAATAGGTTCAGTTTCATCTCTGATACACCGTTTCTTGTTAAAATTGATGTTTTTTTCTGCAGGCATTTGCTTCCTGAATGATGGTCCCACTCAGCCATCCACCTACACTTTCTACCAAGTCAATTTATACTGATTCTTCGGGTCAGTCAATCACTGGTACGTTTCCCCTCCCTGGTCAAGGATCTTTTATTATACCCTATCACAGAATCATATTCCTTTCCTTAGTGCACTTCTCTCAACTGATAAGTACCCCCATTAATGTAATTACTTGATAAATACATGCCTGCCTTTCCTCTTCCAGGGCCGAAATTGTACCTGGTTTTGCTCATCATTCTATAGTATATAGAAGGAGTTCAATAAACAGTTGTTAAAGCAACATATTTAACTTCCATTTTGTTCCCATCTCTTCACTCAGAGACTTTTCTTTGGATTGGGAAGGGTAAAATACCCGAAGACTTGAACTCCAAAAGAAACAAAATGATTTTATGCAAACGTTTCTTCCTTAAAACTCATTAATTGGGCAAATATTCATTTAGTCCCTGGCACTATTTGGTAATGGGAATACAGAAGTGCATATGGCAGATAAAGTTCTGTTGCTGCCCTTACCGAGTTTAGTAGGGGTGAGATGTGGTGTTAGTAAATGCATACTACATTGTCTGTATTTAAATCGAGTCCAAATCTCCCGCTTTAAATCCCGCCTTGGGATGTTTCTTACATCCCAAGAAACAGAGTATTTTGATGGGATTGCTGATGTTTCAGAATGCAAAAGTAGCTCAGGGCGTTTGCAGTCGTGCAAGTCAACAAGATAACCCTCTGAACCGAAAGCTGGGCTCCTCCGGGTCTCCTAACTCCAAATCCAACTCCAAGCTTCTGCAGCTGCCACCTCCCGTAGACTTCTCATTTCTTCCGCATTCTCCTCTCACGACGGGTCTTCTTTGTTGTACTTAATTTCCTATGCAACAAGATTTCAGCATCACCATCAGTCCCCCAAAGACCAATTCTCACAGAGCCGAAGTTCCCACCAAGGGCGGTGGGTAAGGGTTACTAAAATCAGCGTTTATGAATCCTGTCTCAAGTTGTCTCACCTGGGGTTCCGTAGAACAGTTTCTGCGTAAGAGGTCCTTCAGCGACAGCCGAGCTCGGAAAAAAACGGGAACAAGGTGTCTTTTACATTTCCTCAAATACCGTGTATGGTCTGAGGCGCAGGTTAGGTGTATTTAAATATCCTTTAAACAGTACTCCCCCGCCCCAAAAACTGACCTTGAAGGAACAAGTGAAACTCATCCTGCTTTTCATGTTTGCTAGGTTGGCCCGTTACACCCCTTCCCCCGCACCTACCAAGACAGGCAGCTGTCGGCCACCCTCCGGGGTCCTGATTTTGAAAAGAGGAGTGGACCAATCAGATGTGGAGCGCTGTTTGGCGCTGCAGTTTGAGCCTGGGCTGAAACTGCGGGTGTGACGACCGCGGTGGCTCCGGGTGTCTGCGGAGGAGGTGGGGGCGGAAGCATGAGGCTAACGGCTTGGCTTCCGTGAGCGCACCGGGATGTGCAGGCCGGGAGCTAGAGGCAGGCTGATGGGGGAGGGGACGAGCAGCCTGTGAGACGGGGTGACTGCGGCGACCAGCCCGGGCGGGCACCGGGACTGGAAGAGTTGCCCGAGCAGCCGGCTGGTCCGGCGGCCAGGCTGGGGCGGGGGCGAGCGCCCAGTTGAGCCTGCTGGGGCTGGAGGAGCGAGAAGGGTCCTCTTCACATTTCAGAGCGAACCAGACGGGGACAGTAAGGTTTGGAGGAAGGGGGATCGTTGGAAGCAGCCGGAAGTGGTGAGAATCTGGCAATAGGCGAGAAACGGAAAGAATCAAAAAGAAGCGAAGTCTATGTGAGTAGCTGAAAGGATTGGATGACCAGAAAGAAGGTCGGTGTAAGTGAAGGAAGAGTGAGGTGTGGCTGGATCAAAGGGCTAAGAGAAGAGGGTCTGTGTAAGTGGATGTAAGTGAGGATCAAGGAAAAGCCGTGGAAGTGGCCGGGGTTCGGGGCCGCAGGAGTGCCAGACGGGGCCGGAAGGCAGCGGAGCGGAGTTCAGATTTGAGAGCGTTTGGAAATTGGAAGACTTGGTGGCGAACGAGGGTCGGGACCTGCGTCCTGCCTCAGAGAGCAATCGACGTGTCCGGAATGTGGGATCAGAGGCTGGTGAGGTTGGCCCTGTTGCAGCATCTGCGGGCCTTCTATGGTATTAAGGTGAAGGGTGTCCGTGGGCAGTGCGATCGCAGGAGACACGAAGCAGCAGCCACGGAAATAGGGGTAAGTTCTGTGAAAAGGGATTTAGGTTTAGAAGAAAGGGCACCCCCTTTATCATCGCTTATTACCAGATCGTGCTAAAATGTTCAGTCTATCACAAAGAATGGTTAGGTGTGTAATTCAGTTCAGATGGTTGATTGCTGATATTTAAAAAGGGACCTTCTTGGTAGTGGTTTTTTTTTTTTTCCCCCCTAAGGATTTTTGATCCTTGAGAGAAAGTTGCAGGATTTTCCAACTTCAGCACTATTGACATTTTGGATTAGATAATTTTTGTTAGGGCAAGAGGAAATGCTGTTCTGTGAATTGGGATGTTGAGCGGGATGTCTGTCTTTTACCCACTAGATGCTGGTAGCATCTCTCGGTTGTGACAATTAAAAATGTCTCCAGATATTGCCAGCTTACTGTATTTGAAACAGGTAGTACGTTGGGAGGGACAAAAACTCTACCCCTCCACCCTTGTTTTAGAGTAGGGTTGTAGAGGGACAAGGGAGACCAATGCATTTTCTAGAAGAATCTGTAGATGAAGAAGTATGACAGAACATTAGAAATAGGCTTCAAATGATAACTGCATATTCACCAATTTGAGAAATAAGTTTGCTGCTTGGCCATGTCATATTTTTGAGACAGCAATTTTTTTTTATTTGAGTAAATTGAGAAGCCAGAGTGGAATAATTGAAAAGTTGTTGATGTTTTGGTGGTTGAGGTAAAGGGATTTTGAATGAGATTTTAATAACTCTGCCACATCATCAAGAATTCCATTGTGAAAAATAAGCTGAATGTAAAGCATTTTATTTTAAATTTATGTGCCTAATTTATATGGCACTTCCTAGTACTTGGAGACAAGCTAATAAAAATATACATTGCTCTTAATAGTTTATGGTTTCTTTTAAAAAGTGCTTGGAGAAGAAAACCACTAACAAAACTAATATGTGTACCTCTTAGTCGCTGATAAACTTTGGAGAAGTTATTTTTGTTGGTAGCAAACTAATGGCAATACATGTACTTATATTTAAAAAGCTACAGTGATTTCTGATTGTAAAACTGGCTTTCCAAGATCTCAAATGTAGCTGATTTTGTAAGTATATGGAAGAGTTTGTATATGGACTTTTTTTCACCCCTTCACCCCTTTTCTTTCTTTCTTTCTTTCTTTTTTTTTTTTTTTTTTTTTTTTGAGACGGAGTCTCGCTCTGTCGCCCAGGCTGGAGTGCAGTGGCCGGATCTCAGCTCACTGCAAGCTCCGCCTCCCGGGTTCACGCCATTCTCCTGCCTCAGCTTCCGGAGTAGCTGGGACTACAGGCGCCCGCCACCACACCCGGCTAATTTTTTGCATTTTTAGTAGAGACGGGCTTTCACAGTGTTAGCCAGGATGGTGTTGATCTCCTGACCTCGTGATCCCCCCGCCTCGGCCTCCCAAAGTGCTGGGATACAGGCGTGAGCCACCGCGCCCGGCCTGAGCCACTGCGCCCGGCCTTTTCACTCCTTAACAAGAAAAACTGATGCCTGCTTTCAGAGTCAGATAGACCTGAGTTTGAGTCCTGTTCCACCCCTACTACATCTGTAAACTTGGGCTGCTTGTTTGATTTCCCTAAGCTTCAGTTTTCGATCTATAAAGTGGGAACAGTAGTATTTCTCCTTGAATTGTTTAGGGATTTTTAAAAAGTGAAGCTCTTTATGTAGGCCTAGCACAGTGCATGTCACAGGCCACTTCTTCATCTAATGATAGTTGTCATATCAGTGGTCTGCCTCCTAATTGGTAATCATGCCATATAAATTCAGCTAGAAACACTTACAAGAATATTTTAATGAAGCAATATAGAAGATCATTGTGTTATGAGATCTAATGGGATAGGTATTTTGTTTGAAAACAATTTCTTTAGCCCACTGTGTTTGTTAGCTAATTGTAGTTTTTGAGCTTTTTTTTTTTTTTTTTTTTTTGAGACGGAGTCTCGCTCTGTTGCCCAGGCTGGAGTGCAGTGGCCGGATCTCAGCTCACTGCAAGCTCCACCTCCCGGGTTCATGCCATTCTCCTGCCTCAGCCTCCCGAGTAGCTGGGACTACAGGCGCCCACCACCTCGCCCGGCTAGTTTTCTGTATTTTTTAGTAGAGATGGGGTTTCACTGTGTCAGCCAGGATGGTCTTGATCTCCTGACCTCGTGATCCGCCCGTCTCGGCCTCCCAAAGTGCTGGGATTACAGGCTTGAGCCACCGCGCCCGGCCTGTTTTTGAGCTTTTAAAGAAAAGTACTATAAATCTTTTTTAAAATGATACTATAGGTGAGATTCTAATACATAAAGTTTTAAAAACATTTTATGAGATTAAATTATAGTTGTTACTTGTGAAGCCAGTTATTCTAAATAGTAAGACTTAAGGAAGAAAACACGCTGAATTCTAGTTACATATAACAGAAGTAGACTTACCAGCTTAAGTATCTGGTTTATTTTTACATTTGATTTGGTTGCACAGTATCAAGAAAATTCTGATTTACCCAATAAAGGGGTCCCCATACTAACATTTTTTAAATAGCTTAGCTTAAAATGATGATCATAGTATTAACAAATATGTTTTGAGTGCTTATTCTGTGTCAGATACTTGATACAAGTGTTTTGTATATTTTAATTTATTTAATTCTTCCTACACCTCTATGACTTAGGATCTGTGCGAGGATACGAGGAACAGAAACGTTAATTTGATCCAGGTCACTCAGCTGATAAGTTCAAGAGTCAAGATTTAAAACCTGGCATTTTTGCGGGCGCGGTGGCTCATGCCTGTAATCCCAGCATTTTAGGGGGCTGAGGCGGGTGGATCACAAGGTCAGGAGATCGAGACCATCCTGGCTAACACGGTGAAACCCCGTCTTTACTAAAAATAGAAAAAATTAGGCGGGCGTGGTGGCGGGCGCCTGTAGTCCCAGCTACTCCGGAGGCTGAGGTAGGAGAATGGGTGAACCCGGGAGGCGGAGCTTGCAGAGAGCTGAGATTGGGCCACTGGACTCCTGCCTGGGCAACAGAGCAAGACTTCTTCTCCAAAAAAAAAAAAAAAAAAAAACCCTGGCTTTTCTGCCTTTAGGAGCCTACTCTCTTAAGCACTCACTATACCATACTGTCTTTTCAGCTTAAAACGTTTGTAAATTAATTGGAGCCAGGCGCTTGAAAAGGAATTAGTAAAATTTTGTTACTGTGTTGTGTCATTAACAATGCTGAGTGATTTTTATTGTAAATATAAAGTTAAATTTAATGCTCTTAAAACATGACTGCTGCTTGCTTGATAACTTGTGATATCGAAAAAAAAGTACTTCAGCAGCATTCACAGAGTAGATGCATGTAAACTAAATTAACATGTGAGATTATATACCCACTTAATTTTGAATAACCAGACATTTACAGGCTTGAATTTACCTTTCAGTGCTATGGAAAGCAACACATTTTTAAGAAGTTCGAATGTGCGCACAAAGATAGCGGCAGATTCTTTATTCTTCAGTGTGCAAAAACATTCAAGTTAACACAGCTTTACTCTGGGGATCTTCAATGTATTAAAATTTGAATGTGAGGTTTTAAAAATGGGTTTCCAGCTAGTTGAATGAAGTTTGACTTAAATATTTGCACACCCCTGCCTTGCTTACCTCAGGGCATGGTTTGAAAAGCACTCTTCTATAGAAGGTGGAAAATGGTTTAGGTATAAAAATAACCTCTTCTGATATAATTTTAGGAAGACTCAATGAATGACAGGAATTACTGTTTTGCTTTTCAGTTAACTTAGTCTTTTGTGTGTTTATAAGGTGAAGCAAA